GTGCCAGGCTCCGGCGCTGCCCCTTGGCAAGCGAAATAAATCGGGGTCCCGGCAGCTCTCCCCCCGCACGGGGAGTCACATCTGAGGAGGGGGCTCGCGGTAATTTTTAAGCGACTGGGGACAGAATATATATATATATGTGTGTGTGTATATATATATTTCTCTAATTTTTTTTTTCTTCTTCTACGTGGGGGATACCCCTCCCGACAAAGCCCCCTGGGAAGGAGGGCTGCCCCCTTTTTCCAGCGGGGGGGGCGGTGGCATGCCGGCCGCGCCTCGCCCGCCCTTCCCGGGCTGCAGGCACCGATGATGCAGCGCTCCGGAGTGCGATTCCGCCGCGGTCTGGTATTAAAAGCTGTCTATTTTTTGCAACCGCACAGTTAAAAAGAACTTAATACTTGTGAAAAGTCCTCGCGCTGTTTAATAGAAACATAAGTGCCTGGCTGGCCCCAATTAACACCTTGTGATTATAATGCATTCCTAAAATGGGGTGTCAGACGCCAAATTGTGAATAAAGGTATCTAATTAATCTTCATAGGATGACACTGATAAACAACCCTATATTTAAATAAAGATCAAGGAGCTGAATGCTTCTTATTTGTTTACATTAACAGAAGATAAAGTTAACTACCCTTCCAGTTTGCTTCGCAATGCGATTTACTGTGAAAAACAGCAGGCTCCGGCTGGAGGGTCCCGCCTCGCCTCGGCGGGCTCTTTATCGGGGGTTTGGAGGGAGGGGGCGACCCCGAGGGTGACCGCCCCTTCCTCCGGAGCCGCTGCACCGATACCCGCGGGCGAGGGCGGGTGCGTGCCGGGAAACGCGGCTCTTTCGCCCGGCAGCTTTGCGGGTGGAAAAGGCTGCAAGGAAACGGGCGCCCGTCGGCCCCGTCCTTGCCATTTCGGTAGCTCTCGCATGAGAAACCGCGTGCGGCTTTTGTAAACGGGGATGGAGGGCAGGCAGCGTCTAGGGAGGGGGGGGAAAAAAAAAAAAAAAGTAAAGAAAAATAGTTATCGACACCGTTGTGGTGCTGCGCAGCGAGAGGCGAACGGTGAAGCTGCAAAACCAAGAGTTCTCGGTGAAGGAACAGCCGGGCTGCCGGCCGCCTCTGCTTCGCTCCCTGCCGGCG